CCCATTCTCTGCCTGCCTCTCTGCCTACTTGTGATCGCTCTCTCTCTGTCAAATAAATAAATAAAATCTTAAGAGATTTTATTTATTTATTTGGAGAGTGAGAGAGAGCATGAGAGGGGAGAAGGTCAGGGGGAGAAGCAGATACTCCATGGAGCTGGGAGCCCAATATAGGACTCGATCCCGGGACTCCAGGATCATGACCTGAGCCGAAGGCAGCTGTTTAACTGACTGAGCCACCCAGGCGCCCTGTAAAATAGGAATTTTAATAATGCCTTAGGATAGTCATGAAGATTAATAAATTAATGTGCGTGGTATCTCAGAGCCGCTTCGCAAGCAAGCACGCTATTTATCATTCCTGTGTTCCTCCTCCTCCTCCTCCTCACGAATCATACATATGCAGGTATTGAGAAACATGTGGGCAATATCACTGAGTATCCAGATCAAAAATAATATTGGCTTTTTCCTGTCGTGCTTCTCTGTGTTTTACAAATAATGTACAAGGAATGTGCATCACACATCAGTTTTACAGTCAGAAGGCATTTATGAATTTTAAATGATCATTTTATTTATACTGATAAAAGGTTGCCTCCTGCAAGCTCATCTTCAGATAAAAATTGCTGCGCTGCGTTTCGCAGGGATGGACTATTTAAACAACACGGGTGCTAGCAGGACTCACACAGCCCCGGAGAAACAGTGATGTGATTATTAATACCTGAGAACAGCAAAGCACAAATTGTTACGAGTAAACTACTCTTTCGAAAGTGGAGAGGATCTGAAAATTGCTTCCTGTTGCCTAGCACAAGGAAGCCTGATTTCTTGGTGTATGTGTTTCTCTTTCCACACTAATAGTATTTCTAGAATAACAGCATGAAACTTCCTGGTTTCCTGTTATGGTCTCTCTATCTTCAGAGTTTAGAAACTGCCTGTCTCCTCTTCAGATATCTAGCCATTTTCACTGTAAGCATTACAGAGTACTTTAACGGACCCATGTCTCTTAGGAAAAACACTGTTTCTGTAATGAAGTACTTCACCTGACCCAATCACCCTTGAGTGAAGGCTTAACTGAGGATGAGAACGTAACACAATATAAACAAGAGGAGGGACACAGAGAAGGGGGTTGACCAGAGATCATGATGAGGAGGAAAGGCACTGATGCTTATGGGATCTCCAGGGCCGAGAGAACCAGAAGTGTTTATCCTCTGCAAAATGGGTAAAAAAGATGTGGTCCATATACACGATGGAATATTATTTAGCCACCAGAAAGGATGACTACCCAACTTTTGCATTAAGATGGATGGGACTAGAGGGGATTATGCTAAGTGAAGCAAGTCAAGCAGAGAAGGTCAGTTATTATATGGTTTCACTTACTTGTGGAACGTAAGGAATAGCATGGGGGACATTAGGAGGAGGAAGGGAGAAATGAACGGTGGGGAATCAGAGCGGGAGTCGAACCATGAGAGACTATGGACTCGGGGAAACAAACTGAGGGTTTCAGAGGGCAGGGGTTGGGGGATGGGTTAGCTGGTGATGGGTATCAAGGAGGGCACATATTGCATGGAGCACTGGGTGTTATACACAAACAATGAATCATGGTACACTACACCAAAAACTAATGATATACGCTATGGTGACTAACGTAACAAAAAATTTATTAAAAAAAAAAAAATAAATTGGCAACCTCAAGAAAGAATAAAAAGACCAAGGGAGGGCACAGAGATTCTCCTAAGGTACAAATTTAAAAAAACAAAACAAAATAAAACCACCATCCTGGCCCAATTCTTGGTAGGTGGGTGGAAAGTCCTTATTAATAATCACACAAAATCCACAACCAGCAAGTTATGGTTATCAATAGGAACTTCCTGTCACATGAAGTCGCTTGTATTTTAGTACAGCAGAAATGGAGGGGCTGATGGGTTAACCTTCTTGCTCAAGCGCACCCTCCACGTGAGTGGCAGGGCTTGGGCTCCTTCCGGTAGGTGAAGACAGTTCACCTAATCAGGCTTCCGGCTTAAGGGGAGGGGTTGGCAGTCCCCTCCTTTGTCAAGCACGGTCACTGAGTGTTTGCTGGGAGTCTGGGGGAGGGGGACACACTATGCATGTGCTGCTGGGTCCCCTCTCCCATGGTTGTGCTGGTGGTGAGAGCCCTGCTTGGCTTCTTGTTTATGCCTCCAGCACTGCCCACCTTCTCCCCTTTCTCGCCGCCACAGAGGTGCCCTCAGCCTGGGTTTCTCATTGCCTCATGGCCTCTGATGACTAGGATCGGGGCCTGCCTGGCCTTCTCTCTATCTATTTCTCAACAGACTTTTGTCCAGTGATTTTTCCCAAAGTATCTATAAGCAGGACGGATTGGAAATTAAAAAAAAAAAAAAAAAATTGAAAGGAGGAAGAAGGGGGAGGGAAGGAGAGACAGAGACAGAGACAATAAACAAGTCTATAAGCATGAGGCAGTACTCAAGGAACAGGCCTGGTGCTCTTGCCGTCGTCACTGCCCATGGTTATTTGATCTTGTTCCCCAGCATTCTCTCCGTATTTCCAGAGTTCCCCACCATGTCCTCACCCCTCTTCCCTTTGGTGGACACCCTGCAGACCCAAACGGAGTTCCCAAAGGCTTGATAAGATCCATTCCATCTGGGGAGGAACCACTCCCTGTTCAGCTATCTCTGATTCTTGTCCTGGTCCTGCCAGCTCTGGCCTCTGCTGCCCCATCTCCTTGATGGTTCTCCTTTGTCTTTCTGCCTTCTAAGTGTTGGATGCGTTTGCAGCGTCTTAAGCTTCCTCCAGAACCTCCTGCTAAATCTGTCCCTTGAACCTTTATGTCTAGACCCGATTTCTCTCCTGAGCTCCAGGCAGCTATATCCAGCCACCTCCTGGATGTTTCCACGACTGTGTTCCCACAGCAACTTAAATCAAATGTATACAAACACGGAACTCACTATCCATTTCCCTGAACTTGCCTCACACCCCCCAAGATCTGAGTATTTGCTAAAGCATCAACAGGCTCCTACTGACCAAAATGGACAGCGCCGAGTCACCTTGAACTTCCCCGCCCTTGCACCGCACTTGGGATTCACTTGAGTTAGTCTTCATATCTCCCTCACCTGCTTGTTATGCTCCCTTTGTTCCCAGCATCCCAAGTCCAGCTCTTCTTGGGTGGGCTGCTGTGACAAGCTGTTAACTGTTCTTCCTGTTTTCCCCACAGCTTTCCCCCATGGCTTCCAGAATATCTTCCCGACAAAGCTCAGATCCCACTCGCTGGTATTCGAAGCCTTGTAGGATTGCGCTTCTATTCCACTCGTTCACTTTCCGACTTATTCTGCATGTGCTGCTAAAGTCTGTAAACAAGGGGGTGGCTCCAATGTCATGGAGGGCTACGTCAGCCAACCAAAGCCTAAGCCAGAGTCAGTGCCCTTGAATCTGAGGAGGTGAGGTGCAGCGCAGCCAGTCACAAACAGCCAACCAGCCATCCCCAAACAAGGCAGCCACCTACACTGTACCCAGTCAAATACTTGTTGTGCTTTGCTTCAGCATCTTCTCTATGGAAACCCTGTCCCCACCTACTGCCCGGGCACGTTCCTAATCCCCTTTTGTTTGATACTATCTGATGTGAAAAGGTGTACACCCAAATCAACTTTTGAAAATTTTAACGTGTTTTAACGGTTTACCTACACGACAGTATCTACACTCTTGGTTGCAGAAATCACTCCGTATGCTTCACATGTGCCTTATAATTTCTGGTTTCTGTGCCTCTGCAGATCCTGTTCTTTTAGCCTGCAATGCCCTTTTCTCCCAGCTTTAAATTTCCAAGCCTTCCTGTCTTTAAAAATCACTGCTGTCAAGATTCTCAACCCCAGCAGCAAATGAGCTACTTGCCCATTGGCCCATCTGTAGCATTTTTATCTCTGCCTCTCTTACGACTCACAACATCTGAGCCTGTACTATGTCCCTGATAAGCCACGTCTGGGAGGGAAAGGCCCCCCCATCAGATTCAACTTTGAATCTTTGCCATCCAGGTCCAGGGTGGGCAGGTCTCTGCCAATAACCAAACAAATGACTCACGAACAGCCCCCTCCATCTACTGAGGACCATGACAAAATGCCCAAGAAAACAACAACTTGGTTTCCGAGCCTACAGTTTATAGAGATTAGGCGAACATATGCTAATTGATAAAGAGCAATGGAAGATAAAGAATAGGATTATGGAGAATATACACCATATACATTCTATTAAGTCTGAAAAGAGGCTCCTTTTTAGGAATTGACACTGGATCTTAGTAATAGGTTTATTTCAGATGGGTGAAAAGAAGGGCCTTTTGGCGGGGGGAGGGAGTAATCGGATTAGGACAGCGAAAGGCATGGGGAGAAGGGCCTAACATTCACCAGGTCCCACTGCCGCTAGATGTGGGCTCCGTGCCATGTGTGCATTATTTCATTTAATCCTACAACAATCCTGAAAAGCAGAGAGCATCAGTGCCAATTTTATAAGGAAGGAGGCGAAGGCTCAGGGGGATCAAGGAACTGGGCAAGGTCATGCAGGATTAGGTGCTGGAGCTGGGCTGGAAACAGGCAGCCTGCTTCTGTTGCACCACACTGCCTTCGAGCAAAAACCCGAAGTATTACTGGGTATTTTCTTCAGGAAGGGGGGCTCTTTGCATTGATGAACGAACCACTCAAGCTGCAGAGCAAGAAGCAGGGCTCGGGGCGACGTAGCCAACTCTGAATGCAAGTCTGCCGCCCCTCTAGAAAGAAAAGCGAGGGGGCTCTTCCCTGAGTTGAGAGCAGTGTGGGGAGGAATGATTAGGCAGGGCAGCCCTAGAATGAGGGGTGCCTCTAGACTCGCAGAAAACACAAACACGGGCACAGGCTCGACTCTAGATGGATGTCACCCATCCCAGCCTCCTTCAGTTACAAAGGAAGAGAAATAAGCCAAGTGAACATAGATGGCTTGTAATGAACACTCAGCCTCAGAGGCGGTAAGAGGGACAGTGATGGCAGGAGACGTACTTGGTCTCGTTGGCGCAGCGGATCTTGCAGCCTTTCTTGGGAATGACCAAGCCCAAGTGCATTCGAAGCCTGCAGTTGGTGGGCCCCGTGTGCGGCCACACGTGTGTTCCCGGGTGCATGACCGAGTATTTGATCTGCGCAGAAAATGGAACAAACTGGTCATCCATTTACGGAGGGGTAGAGGAAGAGCTCAGTTAAAGTGACAGGATAAAATTCATGTAAATTTTGAATCATGAAAATTCAATTTGAATTTGGACCTTTGTTAAGAATCAGAATTTATATTTTTGTCTTATTGCTTTGATAAGGACTCTCATTTTCTACCAAGCGCTAACACTGAACATTTCCCGCCCTCAATTCTGACATGGACCACAAGAAAATAGGTTTGGTTAAAAAGTGAAAAAAGACGCCTTCGTTGGGCCAGTAACGGCTTCATCATAAAGGTCTGCACTCCCTTATTCCTAATAACAAACTGTGTTCTTCCCGTGACTGAAGACACGCTTGGTACCTGTCCTCTTCGGCATCCTGTCGTCTCGGGAAATTTATCTAGTAATGAACAGGTTTTAGGAGCTCCTTTACAGGCATTTTCATTTTTTCTTCCTAGAACAAGACATGATAAAATCATTGTTAGAAACAAATCACAGTAAAACTTTAACTCGTCCCGTTTTGACCAGATGCAAACTGTACTGTCACCCTCACTAGGAATGAGAAGGCTAAACAAACAGAAGAAGACAAAGTGTCACAGACAGTGACTGGCAGAAAAAGGACCAGAAATCTCCACCCAGTGTCAGACTATGTGACTAAGGCTGTCTACTGGGCAAGGTGAGTGTTGAATATTTACTCTTCTCCCTGTGACAGGTAGAATAATGGCCCCCTCCCAAGGGTGTCCGTGTTGTAAGCAGGAGCCTATGAGTAGGTTATGCTATATGGCAAGAAGAAACGGAAACTGCAGATGACACTGAAATTTCTAATCAGTTGACCTGAAAATAAGGAGATTGTCTTGGATTAACTGGATGGGCCCCATGTAATCAAAGAGTCTTTCAACAAGGAAGAGGGAGGCAGAACAGAGTGATACAGGATGAGACCTGACAGGCCATCTCTGGCTTTGAAGATGGAAAGCACCTGAGAACCAGGGAATGTGGGCAGATTCTAGAAGCTGGAGCCTCTAGACGTAATAGAGCACTGAGGGCACTCTGATTTAAGCTCAGTGAGACCACTACTGACTCCTGACCTCCAGAACTGTACATTTAATACATTTGTGTCATTAAAAAAAAAAAAGATTTTATTTATTTGGGACAGAGAGGCAGAGATAGCGACAGAGAGCGTGAGCAGGGAGGACAGGGAGAAGCAGATGCCCCACTGAGCAAAGAGCCTGGATGTGGGGCTTGATCCCAGGACCCTGGGATCTGACCTGACCTGAAGACTGGCGCTTAACTGACCCAGCCACCCAGGCACCCCAAATTTGTGTCATTTTAAAGCCTCTAAGTTTGTGGTAATTTTTTAGAGCAATCATAGCAGAGTCTGTAAGGGAAAAAAATAGCTTATATTTCTAACCTAAAAATGCATTTCTAGGACTATATCAAAGAGTTACTGCAACATTTTAAATTGGAATTTAATATATATTTCATTGTACAGATCATACTTCATATGTCAATCAAGTATAGGATTTAAGAAAAGAGGGGAAGAGATGGTAATGAGAGATGATGAGAGATGACGTTTTCTATGACCAGCTGTGTCGGTAACACAGATTTTGGGACATGGTCTTAAACATCCTGGACTGTGCAGATTTTCTCACCACTGACAGAATAACTGTGTCTTAGGGAAGACATGCTTAGAAAGGTACACAGAATTATTTGCTCTTATGTAGGAGTAAAACAATGGATTTTTTTAAAGATAGAAAAATTTTAATTCCATACTCAAGATTCTTACGAGGGGCTGCTACATCTAAAGCTGAATTTAATCTTATTTAATATTGGTTGTGTCCTACGATAATCATACACTGAGAATAAAATGAGAGTTACAAGGGAGGCAACTTAAAAGTATTCTTCTCAAATGGACCTCAGTGTTTTAGAACACAACTTTAATACGTATACTAGTTTTTCCTAAGTAAACTTTTTGCCCCTTGAGCAAAACGTTAGTTGCTGTTTTTAGGGGTTAATGGAGTACCCTGCTGAGCTGAAAGATAAACGCCAGTTTGACCAAATAGATGTCTGCTTGTGTCCTCAGAAAGTATTTTTAAGCCTGCTTCCCATGCCTTCCCTTACACAGGATCTGGGGATGGCTTGGCAGAAGTCCCCAATTCTGGGTCCCAGGCTGTGCAGACAGCAGTTAAGGGAGGCTTGGAGGCTTGAGGAGGAAGCAGAAGTGGCTGGACTTTCCATGTGTTGTACCTTAATGAACAGGTAACCAAATGGTCTGGATGTCACTAGGACTGCCCCTTGGTCAAGACTAAATTAGAGAGAGCACCTCTAGCCATTTAGACACACACATCTTTTCTAGTCTTGTAAACACATCCTCTCTGTAGGGGGAAAGCTGTTTAGTAGATGCTTGACCTTCGTGGATCACCACTGGTAGCTTTAAAGAGTCATATGGATGGTGAAGATTTAGAAATGCAACGACAGGAGCGCCTGGGGGGCTCCGTCGATTAAGTGTCTCCCTTCCGCTCAGGTCATGATCCCAGGGTCCTGGGACTGAGCCTCATGTAGGGCGGCTTCCTGTGGGGAATCTGCTTCTTCCTCCACCCCTCCCCCCACTAGTGCTCGCCTGTTCTCTCTCTCAAAACTGAGTTAAAAAAAAATCTTGAAAAGAAAATAACCCAAGACCTTAAAATCCGAACTATTTCTTAAAAAGTGTATTCACATGGAAATGAGTATCCAATTGATTCTTCCAAATCTGCACTGACAGAACTTCTAGGGCCATCTTGCCCAAGAACCAAAGTCGATCACTTCTTGGGAGTTACTTTAAACTCGGTGAGAAAAAATAAAACAACCATAAATCTACCCTGAATTCAGCTGCTTGACAGTTTCCTCCTCTGTTCCTCGCAGCTGCTTTATACTCCATGATGTGACAAAACAGTAAATGATGCTTCAAAGTGCAGGTCTGGGAGACCAGCAATCCCGGGGTGGAGGCCTGGCTGCACCACTTGGTAGTTGTGTGATGCGAACGTTTCTGTGAGTCTCTGCGCCTCAGATCCTCATCCAAAAAAGGATAATGAAATTAGGGCCTCGAGTAGGGGGTTATTACTGGGATCGGTGAGTATTCTCGGGAGATCTGACAATTATCTAGTGGGTGATAATGGTACTACTTTTTTACTACAAAATAATCCTATGTTATATAATAATAAAGCATGTAATGGAGGGGTGGTGGTCTTAGGTCATGGGTACTTGGGTCACGGTTACGAACGTGGACTCTGGGTCCACTTTGGCTGGGATTCCTGCTGTGCCACTAATTTTGTGACCTCCCTGTGCCTCGGTTTCTCTTCTCTAAAATACAACAGGAATCGTACCTCTGTCACCAGGTGTTGTAGGCATCAGATGAGTCCTTTTAAGTATGTCAGGTGGTTCCTGGCTCACAGTGAGCACCATGGAACTGTTGTTACATTCCATTTTTTTTAAAATAGTTTATTTATTTTTTTGAGAGAGAGAGAGAGAGAGAGAGAGAGCAGAGGCAGGGGAGAGGCAGAGAGAGAAGCAGACTCTCTGCTGAGCGGGGAGCCTGACTTGGGGCTCGATCCTAGGACCCTGAGATCATGACCTGACCTGAAGGTAGATGCTTCACTGACTGAGTCACCCAGGTTCCTGTAAAGGTCTTGGGTTATATCTTTTTTAATTTCGAGGCTCTGCTGGAATAACAGGTTCATCTTGCATGACAATTCTGACCAACCGACAGTGGCCACCTAGAACACCGTTGAGAAGGATTCAGAGGTTCAGTCTGAGCTCATCCCGAAAGGCTACTGAGACTGGTCAGCACTGTCCCCTCTGGCGCTGGAACAATGAATGACTGCACATGTAGGGCATATTGGCTAACGATATATTTTAGTGTTCACTGTTGCTGATAATTAATAAATGAGCAAAACAGATATTCTATAACATTCACTTAGTAATCTGAAAACATTTGTAGGGGAAAACCATAATTTACGTTTGTGGGCTCCTTTTCCTCCAACCCCCAAAAGTTGACCATTTAAAAAGGAATAAATATTCTTCAGTCTTGATTATGCGGCCGGGAGACCCACAATGATTCCCACTACCATTTGGAGAAAAATGAAACCTCTAGCCACAGCTTTAAGGCCTTTAGCTCTCTAGCAGCGTCCTTTCCTAACTAGAACAAGACAATCTCTTTAGTGTTAAGTAAACCAGATATTCATCAGCCTCTATACCTGAACTCTTAGCATGAATAAGAAATGCCATGCTGCCTCTCTTCCTCACTTTTCCCCAACCCCTCCTGCCACAGGATTCTCTCCAGCTTCTGAGCCAAGCACCTGGGAGAACATCTGCCATCAGGGGCCCCATCCTAGTTCTATACAAGCTATGGTACCAGTTGTCTTCAAAATTCTTTAAACTATGAATTTGCTTCTGAAAGACATTACTGGATTCCTCCCAGAAGCCTGGAACCACCAACAGAAGGCCCCAAAGAACCTTAACGAAACTTCCTAAAAGAGAAACTATGTGTCTTATATTCTCTTATGACAAAAAAAAAAAAAAAAATTCTATTTAATTAACTGCAACTAATTAGAAAACACAAGCTTGTTTTAGCCCTCACCCAAAATGCACATACAGCTCAATCATTTTGAGTCAAAATGGAAATCAAGATAGAAATGCAGTCATTTTCTGGAAATAATACAAGTGAAAATATCACACATTACAGCTTCAGGAATATATTTTGCCACAACTAAAACGTTTTTAAAAAGATGCAAAAATTTCAAGTCAAAATGTTGCCTTCAACCAAATCTTGTCTCCATTATTTATTTTCTTGCTTGCTTAATACTTTCATCTGCCCTAAAATGCTTTGCAGATTTCAACTTTATCAAAGCACCTGCTGTTCGCAGAGACTCTGGTTCTGGAAATTACTGCCAGGATGCCTGCTTTTCTGCAGCCTTGTTCTAGGAAGCGGGAGGATGTTAATGAAACGGAGGCATCAGATGAACTCCTGAATGAACGCTTGAGGCCAAGAGAACTCATACATTCTAGTGAGACTCCAACAGATAAAATCAGCATGCTGTTCACCTATTGACCTTGTAGCAACCTGAAAAAAAAATCTTGTTGGAAAAAAGCCGAAAAATCACATGCTCTCTCTGCTGATGGACGCATCCTTGAAAGTATTACTGAAGTAGCTCTTCTTTTACGAGTAAACCATTCGGAAAGCGTAAGTGAGATAAACAACTGCTTATTTGTCCTTTAATGTAAACCCACTGCTTGGTCTCCCAGTGTATTCGGTGCAGCTGAGTGTGTGCCACACGTACTGAGTGGTCTTCAAAATGGATTTATTTTTGGATAGCTATTGTTAACCCAGGATGATGAGATTTTCCAGGAAGAGAATTAGGAAAAACCTTAAAGCCCAAATTCAATGCTCCTCATTTTCAGGATAGATTGATGTATTAACTCATCGAATACACACATACTGGGGCCCCGCGTATGTGCCGGAGCCTGGCTTCAACCCAAGGAATGTTAGGTTGAATGTGTAGCACTTCCTATTCTTTTTTTTTTTTTTAAGATTTTATTTATTTATTTGAGAGAGAGAGAGTGAGAGAGAGCATGAGAGCAGAGAAGGTCAGAAGGAGAAGCAGACTCTCCATGGAGTTGGGAGCCCAATACGGGACTCGATCCCAGGACTCCGGAACCATGACCTGAGCTGAAGGCAGTTGCCTAACCAACTGAGCCACCCAGGCACCCCAGCACGTCCTATTCTTGAAGAGCACAGACACTAATTATCATTGCCTGTCACTCTGGTCTTTTATCATCTCCAACCCACGGGGATCCCATTTTGGCACGCAATGTCGTCTCCACACCATGGAGCAAATGAAGCTCTGGGGAGGTCCTTTCTAATATAGTAATTAGCATGTGGTGGACTTTTCGATTAAGCCTACATAGTAGGGTCACTCTTTATAACTTATCATTTAATGGGAAAGACCAGGAAAATCAGAGTATTATATATATTTATCCAAATACACATGTGAGCATACCTACATACACACACACACACACACATAGATTTACATGTGAACACAGGCACACACAAATAAGTGTTCACATGTAGTTTTAAGAAACAATGATGGATTTCGATAATATATATTTTTTTGGGCCGTTTCATTTAAGTTGGGGAATTCCAGCTCTGGGAAGACTCAAGCCTTCTTCCCATGAAGTTATTGGCTGCAGAGAACAATCTAGAAGTCAGGAGCTCACCTTGCTGCCACAGCGTAAACTGGCTCCAGTCGCCCTTCTCCCTCAGGTTTTCATCTTCAGGCAGGAAGAGGCCCTTGGCTTTATCCATCACTGCAAGGCCTTCGTCACGGATTAATTTCCAGTTTCTTTCTAAGGACTAAAGAGAAGATTCCGGTTTTACTGGACTGATAATACGCCTGCTAGTCATTAGGATGACTCTCAGCTTTTTGTTTGTTTGTTTGCTTAATAAAGTAATGAAATCTGTGCTCTCATCGAGGTTGCTTAATTTCTATTTCCTCTGGGACATCTTGTCAAGGGTTTAAAAAAGCCCTATTATTATTTTTGAGAACTCAACGTCTTTGCAGGATGAAAATGTCAATAATTCCTCAGGGAATAACCCCCTCCAAAAATTACTTTAATATTTGCCTAAAGGTTGTTGTTGTGTTTTTGTTTTTGTTTTTAAAGATCACAAGTGAACAAGACTGTTGGCTCTTGTTGACCCTGTTATATCAGTATGTTATAGAATGTTCCATGAGACCACCTGGCATGGAAAGAATACACATCAGGGACTTCATTTCATCTTTCAACAGAGGTCCTCATGAAGATGCCACTCAACATGGTAAACTGTAATTACATTTCAAAGGCATTGGGAAAGTGTCACCAGAACATGTGATGAATTACAAAGTGAACAGCACAGCAAAGCAAAGCAAAGCAAAGCAAATAAATGCCTTGATGTTGAGAATTCAGCCAAACAAAAACATTCCTGACTTCTCCTTTACCAGGGTGCGTTAGCTCCTGTCAGAAAGTGGGTTTGAGAGCAGCAGAGGGGCCAGGCAGAGGCTGGCAGATGTGTGGAAGGAGTCTTCTGGAGCTCTCCGTCCAGGTCAGCCTCGCACTACACCGTGATGCGGATGAAGGTGGGAGCAGAGCGGAAAGCAGGCGGGAGCGAGCCTGTGGAGTGGCAAACTGAGAGGAACTACCCTGAGGGAAAAAGAACAAAACTGCATTCCTACTGTATGCTGAGACTCATTGTACAGATAAACTGGGATTTTGAAATGTTAATAATGCCAAACACTTCTGTGTTAAACGAAAGGGGGACGGAGTAGTTCAGTAAACGGGTACATGGTGAGGGAGGTGCGGGATACCTGATTTCAAGAGTCAAAGAGCTTGAGGGCAGGGCACTAGAATGAGTGAGTTACAAAGAAAAAGAAAGATTTTGACACACAAAAAGTGAAAACAACAATTGGTGCTCCCTGAAAGTGGATTAAGGTGCTGTGTACAACATGGCTCTCTCTCTTTTGAATTAGTCCAGCAAAACTGGTTGACCCATTATTGGCTTGAGCAAAGCATGAGACAAAGTGTGTTAAGGTGTTTTGTTTTGTTTGTTTTACCAGCCCATGTTTTATGAATTCGTGATTCCATGTAGGAAAGTGATAAGGAGCCAGGAGAGCTCCGAGAGACAGATGTCCTCAGAGATTTGTGTGAAAACATGGTGCCAACTTCAGCCCAGCCCAGGGAACATTTTTTACATTATTAGTTTTATTAAGATATTCTAGGGCCAGACATAGATTTTTAAGATTAGATACTGATTTTCTATTTCTTCTTTCCCCCTTCATTTCTTTGAGTCTACTGGTTTATTTCCTTTTTAAACGTCAGCATCACTGAGGCATAACTGACAAAACTGTAAAGCATGCATCATGGTGATTTGATATGCGTATGCATTGTGAAAGGATTTCCCCCATCTGGTTCATTAACACATCCATCACCTCAAAAATTTATCTTTCATTTTTTCATTTTTAAATTTTTCTGTTGAGAACATTTAAGTTCTACTCTCTTAGCATATTTTAATTATACAATATACCGTTATCAACTATAGTCACCTCGTTAAACCTTCAATTCTCAGACTTTATTCATTCTATGGATGAAAGTTTGTACCTTTTACCAACCTCTCCCTATTTCTTTTACTCCCACACCCTACCCCAGCCCTGGCAACTGCTCTTCTACTCTGTTTCTATGAGTTTGCCTTTTTTTTTTTTTTTTTAAATTCAGATTCCACGTGTAAGTGATACCATACAGCATTTGTCTTTCTGTGTCTGGCTTATCTCACTTAGCACAATGCCCTCAAAGTCCACCATGTCGTTGCAAATGGCAGGATTTCCTTCTTTCTCAGCTGAATAATATTTCTGTGTGTGTGTGTGTGTGTGTGTGTGTATTTATGTGTATATATACCACATCTTCTTTATCCATCCATCCACTGATGGACACTTTGGTTGTTTCTATGTCTTTTTGTGGATAATTGTACAATGAACGTGAGAATGCAGATATCTCTTCAATATCTCATTTTCATTGTCTTTGGATATCTACCCAGAAGTGGAATTGCTGGGTCATGTGGTGGTTCTATTTTTAATTTTTTGAGGAAACTCCATGTTTTCCACAGTGGCTACAATAATGTGTGGGTCTGACACTGTTATTTCTGTGAGACCCACATATTGATTCGTGTCAAAAGCCATCGCTGCTGCTACCATCACACTGATTTATGCTAGTGCTGGTCATCAGTAATTTCAATGTTACTTCATCCCAAGTAGGTAATTTATACAGAGCAAGTCAAAGACAGAATTCCAATAAAAAGATACTCAAAAGCCTTCACTTTGGCAGGCCCCGAGTAACAAAATATAATGGCTTTTTTCAAGAATCCCAAGATTATGAAAAAGAAAAAAAAATGCAACCCATATATTCACATCTTCTCAAATGTACCTAAATTGCCAACACTCGTTGTGGCTATTGTAATTTGTTCGAGTTGATAGATAAATCTGTTAGATTCTTGTTAAGTTGTCACACAGATGAGGGGAGAATTACCTTTCTAACACATGAAATTACTTTTCAAATGAGGTTACTGGAGCCTTACACAGCAGGCTCTTCCCTTCATTCCTCCTGGTATTCTAGAAGTTTCTTGCATTTCTTTTGATAGCTGATGTTAGGAGCATCTTTGCAAAGAGCTGATCTTTTGTTAGGAAAACAGGGCAGAAAGCCCAAAGGAAAATGTTATAGTGATTGTATCACTAAATAAATAAAATTTGTCTTAGGAGCAGTTTTTACCAGAGTAATGAGTGCACTTTGGATTTGTTTTTGTTTTGTTTTGTTTGTTTGTTTTCAACTTTGGAAAGATTCACCATGGTCTCTTTTATGGGCATCAGGAGAAATCTAGGATGGGATCTGGGAATTTTATTTTTAAGCATAAACCAAGGAACCGTATTGTATAAAATTCACATGATTAGAGGGGAGTAAACACCAAACCTAATTACACAGGATGTATGTGTGTGTTTGAGAGAGAGCGGGAGGGAGAAGGAAGAGAGGGAGAGAGTAGGAAGGGCTGGAGGGAGGAAGGGAATGGATATGCGTCTTTTCTACAGTGATATCACTCAGATGTCGATGGCAAAAAAATTCCAATCTTTAGTATATTCCAACGGGAGCTTGAAGGCTCACAAGAGAGGCCATGCTTACATTCTGAAAGGTCTCATCGAAAATAACACTTCTTTGACCCTAAATACACCCATTTTATAAAACTGAAAAAAGAAACTGATAGGGTTGGTATTTGAGTTGATTGCCGGGAAGACAACAGCTTCTAATTGACATTTCTCCTTGTGGAAGCATGGATCTAAGAGCACAGAGACTTGATTGCTTTTTCGGTGCCACATGGCTTTGTAAACTCACCCCAAGCACTTGTGTTTTGTTGAACCTCAGCTGTATCTGGCACTCTAGTCATCTCTAAATGGAGTTCCCAGCTTCCAGCTTCATTAATCCCACAACACACCCTAGTTCACTTTACTCCAGACCCCCCAACCAGTTGACAAGGTCCTCACTTCCCAGAAATGCTCCTCATTCACTTGGATGATATGCTTTTCTCTTCAACATCAAATTAGATTAAGTCTATTTTTAAAGTCTTCTCCAAAAACTTATTTCTTGCAGAAAGTCTTAAGGGGAGCAAACTATAGCCAAACTGATTCTTATAGTTAAACAGTTAAATTTCCCTTTCTATTTTTACTCAATTAAAAGTACATATTTTTAAAAGTTAACTAATACTGCAGGTCTTAGAATAAAAGCAGTACAGTCTCTCACTCAATTCTTCTCCCATCCTGAGTCCAACCCCAGCTGATTGCTTTAAACATCTCTTCTGCATTTACCTGCTTCTATCTAAATACTACGTTTTGGGGTGCCTGGGTGGCTCAGATGGTTAAGTGTCTGCCTTCAGCTCAGGTCATGATCTCCAGGTCCTGGGATTGAGCTCCACATCAGGCTCCCAGCTCAGTGGGGAGCCTGCTTCTCCTTCTCCCTCTGCTTCTCCCCTCTGCTGTGCTCTGTCTCTCTCTCTCACAAGTGAATAAATAACATCTTTAAAAAAATAAATACTATGTTTATACACCACTATTTCTTGATTTATCCCATTCTAGACATTATCACTCATCTTTCTCTTAGAGAAGGTAACACGTTAACAATTTGTTGTCTTCTTTTCCCTCTTCTCAATCTTGCTACAGTTAAATTCACAAATCTTTCATCTATCTGATCAAATTCACATTCGGGTTTTATATGACAATGAGTTATCATTCACACTCGAGTCATCCTGTGATGAGGACCCTTCATGCTACATATCTGCCCCCTTTTCTTTGGCTTCATATTCTAACGCACTTACCACTGTTTGTTCTTTACAGCACTGGAAGGGCGATACAAAATCTCTTGATACTATTCTACCCCTTACCAAAAACATCAGATAAGCCACCACTTTCTTTCTTTTTTCTGAAGATAATCCTGCAGTAGCCAACTGCCTTGCTTTGATCTGGACTGGCGGCAGTCTGGGCGTGCTGGGCAAGCCTCATCAGGGAACTGCCCTTGACTTTTGCCCTATAGTGGTCTTCCTAATTACTGCATTCTAGTTGCTCCCAAGAAAGGACACAGCACAGGTAACACTAAATTTCTGAAAACAGTTGAAGCTATACTTAGAGCTGATTGAAGGCTTGCCTGTTTACAGAATTCTAGGTAGGAAATACTTTCTCCTGAGAATTTTGAAAACAATTCCACACTGTGTTAGAACTTTTAGTGCTGCTATTGGGAGATCCTCTTTTGGCGGCGGGGGGGGGGGGGGTGTCCCTCAGAAAACCTTAT